TATATATTATATATATATTTGCTGTTTTCTAGTTAAGCTCCGCCCCTCTGCTGCTCACATCCATTCAGTGCCCAGCTTGTCCCTCTATTGGCAGGGTTGGGTAGTAATCTGATTAAATGTAATCAAGACCAGAGAGAAGTACCTGATCAGCCCGGATTACATTTGAAAACAGATTAATATTAAATTATTCTGACCTTCAGAGCAGCAGCCTGTCTGTTCAGCTGTGTGGTCACAATGTGGCAGCGCTGACAGAGTCTCTGTAGCTCCTCCTCCTTCTCCTCCTCCTCCTCCTCCTTCTTTAGCTCCTCCTCCTCCTGGTAGCGGCTCAGTTCTCCGGGGGACAGCGAGCCTTCAGGGTTCGGCCGTGACTCAGAGTCTCTCGCCTCCTCGTCATCGTCTCCTGCAGAGCGAAGACGCTTCCTACTGAACGGTGAGTCCAGAGGAAGAAGAGTCTGACCCTCCACCACCTGCAGTCCAACAGAGGAACCGGGTCAGTCCTCTTTAGAATCCACTGAACCTTTAGAGACTACTGAACCTGTAGAGACTACTGATCCTGTAGAGACCACTGAACCTTTAGAGACCACTGAACCTGTAGAGACTACTGAACCTTTAGAGACTACTGAACCATTAGAGACCACTGAACCTGTAGAGTCCACTGAACCTTTAGAGACTACTGAACCTGTAGAGACTACTGAACCTTTAGAGACCACTGAACCATTAGAGACCACTAAACCTGTAGAGTCCACTGAACCTTTAGAGTCCACTGATCCTGTAGAGACCACTGATCGTGTAGAGACTACTGATCCTGTAGAGTCCACTGAACCTGTAGAGACTACTGAACCTTTAGAGACCACTGAACCTTTAGCGACCACTGAACCTTTAGCGACCACTGATCCTGTAGAGACCACTGATCCTGTAGAGGTCACTGAACCTTTAGAGACTACTGAACCTTTAGAGACCACTGATCCTGTAGAGACCACTGAACTGTTAGAGACTAGTGAACTGTTAGAGACGACTGAACTGTTAGAGACCACTGATCCTGTAGAGACTACTGAACCTGTAGAGACCACTGATCCAGTAGAGACCACTGATCCTGTAGAGATCACTGAACCTTTAGAGTCCACCAACAGGAGGACTCGTGAAGACAGGAAGTCTTTTAATGACTGAATGAAAGTGAATTGTTGTTCAGATGATACTGAATCGATCCAGATGAAACCAACCAGCTCTCTAACCTTCAAGCAGCCTTCAGGACATAAAAACCTGGATGAGCTGCAACTTCCTGAAGTTAAACTCAGACTAAACTGAAGTTATTCTAGAAACCAATGATCTATTTACATATGTGATCAAACTTTAAATATGGTCTTTTTTTGCAGAAAGATGAAGTTGTTAGAGGAACGTTAACGGACTCAACATGTCGGATGTTTTTGGACATTTAGCTTCATTAAATCAGCCAACACGCTGAGTAACGCTAGGCTAACTAGATAACTAGCTAGCTAGCAACAGATGTTTTTTAGCCTACTTACCAGGTCATATTTATATTTTATGTACATTTATTGATTTTAAATTGGGGAAGCAAACATCTTTATTTAGATTGTCCAACAGAGTCTTAAACCTGGATTTAATGAACTCGGATTAGAACTGATCTCAGATTAAATTAATTCTCGTTGGTGAAACAAACTGTAGAGACGATCAGAGGAATTCATCAGGACGTCGTCACACACAGACAGGTGCACAAAATCACCTGAGGGCACAAGACTTTACCTTCAAAATAAAAGCATGGACGCAGGTATTGCATTCATGTAAAAAAAACATCAGTAGAAAAAGGAAAACTAGCACAAGAAGAAACACTGAGATGATGACATGATCTTTTATTTAACTGTGGTTCTCTACAGCACTCATAACTTACATTTATAATTCGGGTTTTAATTTGAAAGTCAGGAGTTGGCATCCTGTTTGTCAGAGTTAACGTGAACATAATAAACTGTGATACTCACTGTGTATCTCCTGTAGTCGGGTCTTTGAGCTCGAGCTGAGTCCCAGTACTGCGAGTACATCTCTGTAATAAACTGTTTATAAACTATATGTAATAAACTGTTTGTAAAATATATTTAATAAACTATCTGATAATAAACTCTGAATATTTGATAAAATCTGAGTTACTTTCCTTCATCTGAGAAGCTTCAGTCTGTGTCTCTGCTTTCAATACAGTAGAGCTGAGTGTGTGT